AAGGTTTGCGGTACTCCGTAGTAGTGAAGCAGTTTCCAAATTACCTCTCGGTCGACTCTGTCAAAGGCCTTCTCAAAGTCGATGAAGTTGAGGTAGAGGGTTGACTGCCATTCTATACTCTGTTCTATGATGATGCGAAGCGTTGCAATTTGGTCTGCACATGATTTGTACTTCCTGAAGCCTGCCTGTTCCGGTCGTAGTTTTGAATCCAGTGCATCTTTAAGCCTCTCCAGGATGATGCGGCTTAATATTTTGCTTGCTTTGGGTGGATAGGAGAGTGATTCCGCGCCAGTTCTTGTAAAAGCTTATGTTGCCCTTCTTCGGGAGTTTGACAAGGTAACCCTTCTTCCAATCACCAGGCACCTTTCCTTCCTCCTACACCTTCTGCAATAGTGGTGTGAGCATGTCCGCTGTTGTCTCTGCGTCTGCTCTCAGTGCTTCTGGCAGGATCTCATCTGGTCCTGCTGCTTTCCCGCATTTCAGTAGCTTTATGGCGTTCAGGACTTCCATTTTTGTTGGAGGATTTATGTTCACTCGTAGTTTTGTGACTGGGCTGCAGGTGGTATTTCTGGACGAAGTGCAGATGGTGGTTGATCCAAGAGCTTTTTGAAGTGGTCGGCCCATCGTTTCCTCTGTTTCTCTTCTTTCATAATTAAATTTCCGTCATCATCTTCCATTGTTTTCGTCTGCGTTGATCTCTTCCCAGACAGTGAGCAACCTGGTTATTTGATATAATGTTGTCAGGTCTCGCTTACCTGCAACCTGTTCTGCTTCATTTGCCAGTGTTTCGTAGAAGTGTCTTTTGTCTTTCCGTGCACTCTTCACCACTTCTTTGTCCAGTGTTTTATACATCGTACTCAGTTCCTCTTGTCGTTGAGCATCCATGCACTGGTTCATCTTCTGCTTCACCATCCTCTTCTCCTCTATCAGCTTCCATGTATCCGTCGAGATCCATTCCTTGTCCTGACTTCTTTCTTCTTCCTTCCTAATACTGTTGTACAGGTTTCTTTCCACATCTCTTTCAAAGACTTCCAGTGTTCTTCTACACAGGTTTCTTTAGGGATGTTCCTCGATATCTCCCATTTTGTCTTGATGGCTGCTGTGAAGATTTCCTTTGTAGTTTCGTCCTTTAGTTTCCGAGTGTTGTACTTGAATTGAGGTCTATCACCAGATTCCTTGAAGGCTTTTAACTTGAGTTAGAAGGTCCCTTGCACTAGATAGTGGTGTGAACCTACATCTGCTCCTCTTCTTGACCTTGTGTTAAGTAGACTGCGTCTCCATTTTCTTGAGATTGAGATAAAGTCGATTTGATTTTTAGTGTGTCCTGGTGTCTGGTGAAATCAATGTCGCTTTGTGGATATCCTTGTACTTGAACACACTGCCTCACTCCAATCACCAAATCGTTGAATGCACAGAATTCTACAAACAATTCTCCATTCTCGTTCATTTCACCTAGCGCTTCTCGACCCATGGTTAGTTCTCTTCCTGTGTTGTCTGCTCCCAGTTTGGCATTCGTGTCACCCATTAGAATTTTGATATCGCCAACTGAGGCGGTGTCTTGTCCAGTGTTGATTGAAGTTGTCTGTAGAATTCCTCCTTTTTCTCTTGCTCTGCATTATTTGTAGGTGCATAGCATTGTATGATTGTGACATTGCTTCCTTTTGAGTTGAATCTTGCTGTCATGATCCTGCAAGAGGAGCTTGGTTCCCACTACATGAGAGAGAGCCTTCGATGCTGTTGGGGACATCATGATAGCCACTCCAGTACTCAGTGTGCTAGTGGTTGTCGTCTGGGTGACAGTAAAGGAGTAGATTATTGATTCTCCAGTTGACAGTTTGGAGAGACCACTCCCATTCCATCTGCTTTCGCAAATTCCTAACTGTTCACTGTGATACCTCGTCATCTTGTTTGCAATCTGGGCTGCCTTGCTTGGTTCAAACACTGTGCGGACATTCCATGTCCCCACGTTTACTTTCGCTTTCATTGAGGGAAGACACATCGGCCAATTGGCTTCCTGAGGTCAGGCTTACACCAACTGGCATCATTTCGCCTCTCCGAATCCAGCGAGGAATATTGTTATTTTTTTATATATCGTTTGTGCTTTGAAGTTTCTTTAGCGGTTGGATTTGTTTTACGGGGTAGGGTTGCCAGCCCTATTCCCAACCTTCCCTCTTTACCCGGGCTTATGACCGGCTAGTAACTAGTGAACTAGTTAACCAGGCGAGGTTTATTTAAAGTATACCATGCCGTTATTACTACTAATACTTCGTTTCAGCTGTAGGTTGTTTGCAGCTGATGAAAGGTCATGAAACAAAATGTTACGGAAGTACAAACTATTCTTGTACAACAGGGCCTAAGAAGAAACTTTCCTATTCCAAACTCAAAGATACCCTTTAAGAGCATATGTATCACATCCAAGAGCATATGAAGCATAACTCACTTTAGTTGATTTATATATATAATTTATAGGTGGCAACAAGGTTTGAACCAGTGACCCCTCAGTATAAATAATACAAGTATGTTAAACCACGGCTTTCTCGGATAGTCAAACTTATAAATATTATAATGCTCTTGCTCTCTAGTTCAGGTCAATCTTGACTGAAATACGAAGTCATGACTGTGCAGCCAGTGTGAGTATGATGTAGAAGTAGTAACGTATTACGAATTTACATAGAAGTTTGGAAAAATCCTTGATGACTGAAGTAAACTTAAGATCTTGTCAGTAAGTGAGTGCTTTAGTTTAGTCGGCAGATCACCGGATCGGTAACTCGGAAATCTTAGGTTCAAGTTGTTAAGTGGTTCAGATTTCTACTCCACTTTCAATCATCACATAATATCAATAATACAAGTATAACAAACCACAGTTATCTCAGAAAATCAAACTGATATATAATTTCATGTACTCCTTTGAAGATATATACTACGAATTCGCAGTGAAAACTCTTTTCCATAGCATAAAATAATATTTATTATTAAATTTTTGTTTCGTATTTACAATGAAGGAGAATATGGATAACAATATACACATATGACGTAACAATAGACACAGTTTCGCACTAAATGATTATTAATACCGGATGACGATTCAAGGTGAAATGAGAATTGGGACCGCAGGTGGATTCGGAAGGGCGATCACTGAGTTTCGGGTGCGGTGCTCCAGCAATTGAGGTGTGAGTTTCGACTACTGACCAGATTTTTATTTCTATTCAATCACCAAGAATTTGGCTGGTTAGCATTCGGACCTTTTAGCTCATTTGGTAGAGCATCGGGCAGGGAACCAGATGGTCACTGGTTCAAATCTGACAGCGGTCCAAATTTTCATTTCATCTCCCATTGTCACTCAATATAAACTAGATTATTAGGTGACTGAATAAAGTGTAAGTATTATGAATGATAGACATCACAGGGATAAGTTTACCTGAGTTAGGTCACATTTTGAAAATTTATATGGTTCTGACATCTACTAACTAGTTCCATGAACTTATTGCTACACCACTTCACCACCATTCATTTTAAAAAGGCTGAAGTAGTTGTATGTTAATTCATGGAGTCAGAAGTATGCATGAAGAAGAAGTTTATTCGGACATTAAATTCATTTTGACCATGAAATTGTTAAGACGGATTGGTAATCAAAGTTATGATTAGCATTTTCAAATCCCTTTTAATTGTCGCTTTTGGTTTTGTTTGTATATTCTCCCACTCATTAGTTGCTATGCTTGTTATTTCTTAATCTGATTAGACTTGGTTCCTGTCACATGTCAATTTATTTTGCTACTAAAAAATTTTAAAAGGGATAAATCGATCACGATGATCTTTACTGAAATGTCATTTCTTAGTTGTGCATTTTTAAGGTAATATTCATTATCGACTAACATCAGTTGGAGAACCATTGAAAACCTAGGAGCACTGGATACCTATTTCGTCCTAGTACGAGACTCCTCAGCAGTACGCACTCACAATCCCGCCCACCAGGGATCGAACTGAGAACTTTCAGGTCTCATAACGAACGCACTAGCCATTCAGTCACTGGGTCAAATTTCAATAGTTCACATTTCCCATTAGTTATACTCCTACAGATCAAGGCTTCTCATTAGAACTTCAGTATATCCATCTGGAAGCATATTACCAACGAACACTGTGCAGTAATGTATGTTCTCCAACTGATGTCAGTCTATGATGAGTACTAACTTAAAGATGAAATCCCTATTAACCTCAAAATACATTGGTGTGATATTTTCCATCAAGGTGTATCGACTGTGAACTTCATGAATTCATAATATAATGAGCCTTTATCGCATATCGGGTGGATATCGTTAGTCTGAAGTCTAGTGAGTAACACTGTGATGTTTGAAGCATAGACTGTTGTGTTTCGATTTGAGTGAAAATATCAGCAAGCCAATGCTTCCAGCTAATTAGTCCTTACTCTAATGTAACATACTAATCCAGTTCAGATGGGCGTTGTTCTGATCTGTTGCATATGCATTACGTTAACGGCAGTAGAAAACGGGAATCTTGCGAATCATTGTGTTCTGCTACAGTAAGACCAACAACCTATTTCAACTTTTTCGTTTTTGTATGGCACGTCTGCGTATAAAACAAATTTTGTAAGGTAGTTACTGTAAAGTTTATATTGTATCAGTACAACCCTACTTATGTCTCTAAAACTGAGGGATTATTCGTTATATCCCCCTATGTTATTCTTTTGTTCCTATTCACTTCATTTTACTCCCTCACAATAAGGCAACTCACCTTCTTACGCCGTAAGTCAGGAGGAGAGATCTCATCAAAAGACATCTTAGAACATGATAGAACTCACCAATATGAAAAGATTAGATAGACGGACATACAACTTGAGAGATAAGAAGCAAAGAGAAGGGAAGAGAGAAGTGAAGTAGAATGAATGAACCGGCTTTTCTCACACCTTTCAGTACATCTAAACCAATTAGATAAATAGAAAAGAAACATATCAACAGAAATTACTCAACTATCAACTTATGTTTATACATACATCAATACACTGTTGCTGACTGCCATAACAATAACAAAACACAAAAGGAACACTGATTTCCACCCCATTCATGTCATTATCACTAAACGTCATATGCGCCAACTTTTGGATGGAAGATAAATACAGATTTGTATTTATTCGTTATCTGCTAGTCATAGCAGGGAATTTTTCTTTTGTACACAATATTATTTATAACACAAGTCTTGCCAATACAAAAACGATCTGTAGCGAAAATCGTTTCATCCAATTGACGAGGATAGTCCTACCAAACATTATAGTAAGTCAAAATGACTTTTTAATAAAAGCCTTCTGGTTTACTCTTAACATAACAGTCATTTGAAAATTTATTTTTTTTGGCAATGATATTTGTGGGTTGAGGGATTGATTAAAATGACGTAGTGTTTAGCCATGAGTTTCGCCCCATCTCCAGACTCTTCAGTAGATCACATTCCCATGCTTAGCTGACATAGACTCAGCATCCGTATCATTATTTGATCCATCAATTCTGTTAAAAAGGAAATATAAAACAGCAAGGAAATGGTTTTCGGTGATAAGGTATCATCTATCTTATCATCACTCTACAGTTGAACTGTCTCTTCTTATTATGAAACTACATTAATATAGACGTATCCAAAAATCAGTCTAGATTTCTCCTTATGATCAGTGATAGGAAAATAGAAGGCAGTTTCCTAAATGTAGTTTTTATCATGGATTAGGATCAGTTAGGAAGTCAGTGAAAGTTGGAAACTGTGGATTCCTATTTCATTCTATTTCAGGAATACCTTAGCATTGCATCTACGACCCTGCAACTTAGTAGGTGCAAGAATGTCAGATTTCCCGATCAACACCTTGGGATTTAGTCACTGGGTTACGACCCGATTGTTCACTAATTTCTAACAGCTTCAGTTCGTGATTTCTCTCAACCATCATCAACTAACACCATCAGTGGTTATCCACTTCACTCACTATTTGGAGGTCACATGAATGATCAAAACCGTTCAGAATATAAGGATGAAAGTTGAAGGAAGACACAGTTTCGCTACAGTGTCATCCACTAATAGCTTTAATAAAGTGTGTAGCTTTCAAGCATATCAATATTCATTTGAGAAAGTCATTCTGCATCCTAAGATGTTTGTGTATTTTTGATGCTATCTGGATCAAGCTAGATGAAAATATTTCTATACTCAAATAGAACTCATAGACATTTGTTTCCTACTGTCAACATATTGGTATCGTGTGGCAAATACTCGTTAAATTGTCCATGTCTAGTACCTTCTTCGCATGTTGTTTAATGCTCACTTAAATGTTGAACTGCTCGCTGAGTATACTCATAATTTTGATTTTTCCGAATTTTATTTATATTGATAGCAAAACTTCTTCTGTGAGCCATGTCTTAACAGAACCAAATAGTCTATCTGTCTTACAGTAGACTTATTAGCTTATATACAACCAATATGAACACAATTTGTCTGAACAGTCGTAAAGTCCTTCCGAAAATGCCATCTAGGATGATGGTGAAACACCTGCCAACAAAGGCATGATATAACTTAGGCCGAAATACACAAATGTTCTCAGGCGTGAAGCCTTAGGATATTACAGGAACCTATGTTGTGTTGTTGAAGGTGATCAAGTAGAAGCCTTATTTGTTGTTTTCTTTGTTCTTCTTAATTCTGACCAGCAATACTTATTCCTTCTCGGAAATTCATTATGAAATCGTTCAACTCTGCAATAACAAATGCTACCACGTAGTGTATTAAAATTTCAATTTGTTGCTGACTGTATCGCATCATCTAATGTCAGAGAGATGGCATTACTATTTCAAGAAACTAATTTTTCTTCCGATTTTAGATGGCTTGTAATATAGTTTAACGTTTCTTTCATTATCTTCAAAATCATATATTCCACTGGATTTTTTGTTGATATTTTAGAAATTATAACCTGTGTAATCTTAAAAGATTATCCATAATGAAGTGTCACGGAAGACAGAATGAATATAACTTCCCTGAACTCTTTATCACTGATAATCAACAATCCGAGTAGCATCAACTTGTGATAATGGCCACACACATATTTAATTGTTGAGGTGTTAACTGGTCTAATTTACGGAAACGTATATTGGACTGAGTTAAAATAAATCGGGATTATAAGGTAGTCAGTCATTTTCAAGGCGTTCTGTTCATAACTTAGATTCATATTTAAGGGGATAGGATGACGTAGTGGTGATTTTAATTTTTTTCTGGTTTAAATTGATTTTCGTTACTTGCGAAATTTGCAACTGAGTTGCTTCCGTAGACAAGATGTTTTCTAAATCCCATGGATGGTTGTCGCCGAGGAAATAACACCAAAATGATGAAAGCATTGCTGATTATAAGAACATGTAGAAAAGAGGTTATCTTTATATACTTATTACTATTATTACTTGCCACTTGGGTTCCTAGTGGAACATATGGCTTCAGTAGCACGTCTTCATTACACTCTCTTCTCTGAAATCTTTTGAACCTGACTCCATGACTGCCCACAAGCTCTCATTTCTTCCTCACACAATCTCCTCCATGTCACCCTCGGACGCTCAACTAGTCGTTTCCTATCTGGGTTACACTAGAGTAACTGGCCTGGGCATGATGTTCCCGAATGGTTTTCTCAATCCGTCTTCACTTCCTGTATATTTGTTGAGCGATAGGTTCTTGGTTGGTTCGTTGCCAGGCCAGAGTTCCTTGCTGCTTATTCTTATTATTCTGGCCATCTGAGCTTCAGTAACGATCGTAGGCAGTTGTTGATGAATATCTTAAGTTTGTTGGAAATTCCTTTTGTAACGCGCTAAGTCTCTGAACCATATAGCAGCACTGAATTGACATTGGTTTTATTTTTATATACTTGTAAAGGATGAAGAACAGTAGCTCTACTTTTATAGAAGTCATACATAAAGTCATGAAATTCCACCAATCAGTCTTTGAGATTGTCTCATTATTATTAGTTCGTCTTGAATATAATTTCCAAATCTTGATTAAGACGATAACAGTTATAGGTCATGGTATAGAGTGGTTGGATAATTGAAGGAATTATTTAAAAAGATAGTGGGGAAGGCTTTTCAATGGTGTTATATGGTATCTATGAATCTTCGGTCGGACATAGTACAATCCTTCAAAGTACTGTGTTGAATAACTGATCTTTGGTAGAAATTTAATTGAAACTTCCAATCATCGGATTCCAAATGATGCACCCTACCAGATATTTATGCACAAATAACTTTTCATTGCTGAATTAAGAGTTTTGAGAAGTCTGTAATCATAGTGTATCACCACCATATGTGTAGAAACCACCACACGCTAGATTCATGATTTTGTATAGTGTGTTGGCTTGGCTAGCAGGAATTCTCATCTACTTCCTCCTGATTGTCAGCTATCATAAATCTCTGTGGTAGATCCCTATTTCAACGATATACCTTTTTTAAACGGAATCATATACAAATAGTTATGATAAATCACTCAGTAATCACTGTATCCTCTTCCATATCAGAGTGGAAAATCATATTTCTCCAAAATGGTTTTCTTGACCAGTTGCTTAGTCCTACTATATAAGCTTTATTTTGCGTGCAAAAATATCTAGGCATTCATTTCTTCAGACAGATTGATCTAGATAGTGTTTTTAGTTCATATCTACAAAACAGATTATGTTGTTGTAAAAAAAATTGATTATGATCATTGGGTTGGCAACTTTTGAGCTATATATAAGTGACGAATTCGTAATCCTTTTGAGCCTTTTGGCCTGCCTTCGTGTAGGATTTTGAAAGAACACTTGAAGGAACGTAGCACAAAGCGGTACTTTAACTTGTGTTTTCCTCTGGATAGCCAAGCAAGATAGTGCTAGGAGATGCATTTAGAAATGTTGACCAATGTGCAACTACCTAACCAGCTCCATAGGACCAGGTAAATTGATGTGTACGCAAAGCAGTTGTCAATGTCTCTGTTATAGGTGACAAAACCCGACTCCTTTAAAGCCATTTGGATTGACTTTCATTGGATTTTAAAATAAGACTGAATCGAAAAATGTCCCAAAGGAGCAGTTGGTCTACTACAGTTGACAGTTGATTTAAGAAGATTTGAAAGACAAACTGCCGCTTTGAGCCAAATTCTTAACAGTCTTCTTTGAAAACCTTAAACATCCGGTTACTTATTAAAATTAATTTTACTTTGTAGATTCAGTCTATGTCATGATTAACGTGAAGGTTGATAAATGTCTGTAGATTGTATACCTAAAGATTTTCTTGTCATCCTTGATATTTTCGCCTAAGTATTTGTTCGTTTTCTTTTCCATTTCTATCTGTTCGGTATTTATATTTTGGAAATTTGCGGTTTGTCTTTGATGTTTATATAAGATATTGAAAAGATGACAGTTTCATTGAGGTTTCATTATTTTCTATTTCGAACCAGCTACCAGCGGGTCCCCAGCCCGGTGCTCTACCAACTGAGCTACGAAGTCCTACTGTTGACCCAATTTTTATTTCACTCCAAGATTAGTAAAATGTATTGATAACTTAAATAATGGGAGATTAGAATAAAAATAATGGTTGTTTATAATCATAATAAAGTTGCTAGTTAATGACGTAAAGGTTGAATGATAACAAAAAGGGGTTACGTATGATTTTCAAAATCTTTTATGAAGTGTATATAGATTACAGAGGGGTGTAAAAACGGTAGAGTGAATGCGCAAAGGATTAGGTAATATGAGTTAGACAAGTTAATAAGGATAAATTGAAGATGACAGGCTCCTTTTTTTCAAAATTGGGAAATTCTTAGCCAAACTATCAGTCATTTTAAGATCAACAGATGACACATAAATGATATATTCATTATTTGTGACTCCGACATTGATTTAGATGACTGCCCCCATTAGTTCAATAATTGTCACCCAGTATTGAAACCTACTGTAGAGATGGAATTGGAATCAACTGCTTCTTTGTTTGATGTGCTGATTACGGGACGTAGCAATGAAACACTGAAAAACGAATTGGCTAACGTGCCATGGTTGTCTAGTGGTTAACGCTTTGACGTTGAAGAGATGGATACTAACTTCAAGTTTCAGAACATCCGGCCGACAAGCCTCAAATAAAACGAAATACACGTTTTTGATTCTACTGCTAACCACAAAGATGAATCTAACACCATAAATATCCGGCTGGATAGAGGCATTTTCAGAGGAACCCATTTGTAAATAGCGGTTGGGCAATTTGGCCCTGTATATCGACAGAAAATTGCAAGTAAAAAAACTGAAAAGATC